GTATTTTTGGGACGCGCCGGCTGGCTCTTGATTTTGCCACCAGCGACTCAAACTGGTAACTTCATGTTGGGTTCCGCGAAATTGCTCCGGACGTTTTGTGCGCTCTTATCTGGGACATCACGTTGTCGCGGCGGCTGAGGGCAGCGGGCCCCGTGGGGGCGGATGGCGCGCGTCGCCCGGTGTCGTCCTAGAGGCGTGGGCACGATGTTCTCGCCCCATGTGGGCCTGGGCACGGCGGCGGCATTTGATAAGGAACGTCTTCCTGAGGTCCAGACCCCGGCGCATTCCTCATTGTTTCAAGGCGAGGTGGGTGGCCCGCGTTTGGCCGCCCATCGGTCGCGGGACCCTGGGTTCCTTATCGAAGGTATCCTTATCTAAATCCTCCACCGTGCGTAGTTCAAGGTCCACTCGACTCATTTTCAAAATGCTCCTTGGTAAGTATTCGGGTCGTTGTTTCGTTCGGGTGACCCCTCGCTTCTCGGAGCCAGGGGCTCCGCGTGGCGCACGCCACCGCCTTTCTCGCGGTTGTGGAGCGAGCACAGCGTTGCTGGTCCACCTTCGCTTTTGCGCGCATTTCCCTTGGGCTCCTTCCCTGGGTCTCTCAGCGCCAGCCGCAGGTCCCTGAGGATCCGTAGGAGACTCTGTGGGCCCCGCCTGGCCTGCGAGGGATTCCTGAACAGCCTAGGGGACCCCGATGGACTTCGATTGGCTCTCATGGTTTCCTCGGCCTCCTCTTCCCTTCCTGTTCCCCTACAGCCTCGGAGCAGGTTTTCTCCGCCGCCGCATCCATGCCGATCCACAGCGTGTTGGGAACTGCCACGCCTATACCGGCCGCTATTTTGTAGCGCAGTTGTGTTACATGTGCACCACAATGGGTATTCATGACGCCGTGCCATCATTTCGATTTGTACACGCCCACCACGACGTGTGTGTGTGTATTAATTAAACGTTCAGTGTCGAAGAAAACGCGACACATCCTACTGCGTGTTGAGACCGCATGGCGACCATATCGGATGTTACCCAACCGTGCATATCAGTGTGAGGGGGCCGATCGGTCATTCATTCTCCCTGGGTGCGTGGCTGAAGTGGGGATCCGTAGTGAGGATTCTGCTCATTGCGTTGTTGTTGTTTGTTTGCTTGTTTGTTGTCGTCGTCCTACCCGCGACTCACCTGCGACCCACCCCGCGACCCACCCTGCGACCCGCCCGCGACCCAACACGCAACCCACCCGCGACCCAACCGCGACCCACCGGCGACCCACCCTCGACCCATCCGCGACCCACCCGCGACCCACCCGCGACTCGTCCCGCGACCCACCCACATTGCTTTAACGAAAAACCGGCACCTGCGGCGAGCTTGTTGTGCAATTTCAGAATGAGGCGCTTGCGGCGGGCTTCTTCAGAGCCCCGCAGGCTGCAGACGTCCCCGCCGCCCCCTCACTCACGCAAGAATCTGAGGCAGGGCTGCCCAGCGATGAGCCGCGCGCGCCGGTGCTCGGCCCGCGCGGCCACCTGTCCAATTCGCGTGCTCGGCACTTCCTATCAGTCGCTGCCCCCCGGGGGCCGGTCTTTCACCGGCCTGCGCCCGGGCTGCGCGATCGCGGTTTTCAGGGATTGCCTTTGCGCGCGCGGCGCGCCCGACGCTGGCGCGTTCGACGCGCGCGACGCTCGTCGCGGGCCTGCGCTCGACATGCTGCGCGGCGGCGGTAGTTTGAGTGAGGTTCTCGCCGCCAGACAGCGGCGCGACGCCGCGTCGCGCCAAGGTTCGCACCTGCCGTTCGACCGCGCCGAGCCCGCGGCCGCGCTCGAAGCGGCGGCCGCGGCGAGCGGGGGCGAAGACGAGCAAGGCGCAGCATCCGCCCGCGCGCTGGCACGCCGCCGCGGGCACAACCGGACGCCGGCGCACATCTCGGCGCGTTCTGCGCCTCGGCCCAGGATCCGACCGCGCGCCGCAGCCGCGGGCGCGCCCGCGCGCTCTGCGTCTCTCGCATCAGGGACCTTGCCAGGCCGCGTTCGCTTGCTGCGCTGCGATCCGCGCGCCGGGTCGGGCAGCGGGCGCCGCGCGCTGCGCGGCGCGGCGCCGTGCGCGCGAGCGCGGCCGCTTCGGCATTAGATGCAGCCGCGCCCGCGCGCGGCAGCAGCGCGCGGCGCGGCGTCCTCGAGCTGCGCTGCGCTGCCCCGCTGCGCGCCGCGCCCATCGTCGCGGCGCGGCAGCGCTCGACAGGCAGGTTGGCGCGGAGAGCGCCAGACTGGCACTCGTCAAGGGGCGCCTGGGGCATTTGTGTTGGAGCGCGCTGCGCGCGTTGCGCGGGGGCAAGAATGCCTTCGGGTGCCCCGCCACGCGCGCGGCACGCGGCGGCTTGCGCGGCCGCGCGCGCGACGCGCGGGGGGCGGAGGAGCGCGCCGCGAGAAGCGCTGCGCCTTCGTCGGGCGCGCGGGGCTTTGGGCCCAGCCCTGCGCCGCGCGGCGCAGGGTCATGCCTTTCTGGGCGGTTCGCTCTGGCGTCGGGCGGTCTTCCCGCTCCCGCCTCGCACTGCCGCGCGCGCCAGAGCGCGGCCGCGCATCGTCTGTCGGGTGTAGCTGCGCCCGCAAGCGGCAACGGCGTGCAGCCTCGAGCTGCGCTGCGCTGCCTTGCTGCGCGCCGCGCCCATCGTCGGGGCGCGGCAGCGCCCGACAGGCAGTTTTGCGCGGCGAGCGCCAGACTGGCGCTCGTCAAGGCCCCCCTGGGGCATTTGTTGTTGTTGTTGTTGTTGTTGTTGTTGTTGTTGTTGTTGTTGTTGTGTGTGTTTGTGTTGTGTGTGTGTGTGTTTGTGTGTGTGTGTGTTTGCGTTTTGATGTGAATATATTTTAAATATAGGCATCAGCGTTTTGGTGTATGTTTTGTGCTTTTGGGTGCGTGGTCTTTGAATTGTTTTTGTTTGTGCGCTTCTGTGCCTTTTTGTGTCTTGTGGTGTGTTTGGGTGTTCTCTTTGCTGATTGTTGGTGCGCCTGGGACCCTTTTTTTGGTAGTGTTTGGTACGTGTTGGAGTTTTTGTTGGTGTTTCTTGGTGGTATTTGTTTTTTTTGGTTTTGTCTATTGCACATTTGTGTTTTTTGGTGGTAATTGATGTGTGTTGGTTGTTTGTTGGTGCTTTTTGGTGCGTCTTGGTGCCTTGTTGCTAGTTTTTGGTGCGTGGTGGTCCCGTTTTGGTGATTGCTGGTGCGTGTTGCTACCTTTTGGGTGATCTATAGTGAGTTATATGTTTTTTTTGTGTGTGTGTGTGTGTTTGTGTGTGTGTGTGTGGTTGTGTGTGTTGGTGTGTTTTTTGTTGCTTTTTTGGAGCGTTGTGGTGTTTTGTTGTTTTTTTGTTGCGTGTTGATGTTTGTTTGGTGATGTTGGGTGTGTTTGTGTGCTTTGCTTGTACTTGCTATTGCGTTTTGGCGACTGTTTAGTGCGTTCTATTGCCTCGTAGGTGTTTTTGATTATTTTTGGTGCAGTTTGGTTTCTTGTTGATGATGTGCTGTGCGTTTTGGTGTGTGTTTGGTCTTTTGTTTGTGTGTTTTGGTGTTGTTTGGTCAGTTTTTTTTTTTTTTGTTTGTTTGTTATTTTTGATTTTTGGTTGTTTGTCGTGGTTTCCGTGCTGCTTCGTGTTTTTTCGTGCCGTGTTAGTGCTTAGTTTTTTCTTCCCTGTGTCGTACACTATTCGTGTTTTGTCGCACCGTCTCCGTGCTGTTTGGAGCTGTTTCTTGCCCTGTCCGTGTTTCTATCCTTTGTTTTGAGTTCTTTTCGCGTTTGAATGTAATTCCGTGCCTTGTTCGCGCGTTTTTGTGTTTTTCTCATGCCTTTGCAGTGTTCTGTCGTGCCTTTGCGCGCTCTTCTCGCGCTTTGTTGTGGTGGTCGTTTAGTTTTCGCGCATTCCCTGTTTGTTTGTGTTTTTGTGCAGTTGTCAATCTCCTGCCGTATGTGGCACAGATTTTGTATTTTTTGTATACGGTCCGCTTTCGCGCGTTATCGTGCAGTTTGTTGCGTATATGTTTTTATATTCGCGATGTTCGGAACGGCTGGCGTCTGCCCGCTGGTAGCTCGCCCGCCCCGCGGGATAATGAGTCGCAGCTCGTTTTTTTTCAAGTGCTCGTGCAGCGCGCGCGGGCAACCCGCCCTTGCCCTTGGGCGGCTCGCGGGGATCGGGCCGCCCTTGCGGGGGTCGGGTCATGCCCGCGGAAGGTCCAGTTGCTTACTAAGGCCCTCCCACATTTGTCTTTCGGGTGCTATTGAGGCTTGGTGTGGTGTTCGAAGAAAATTGTCCGAGCTTGTAGTGCAAGGACTATTTGGAAATTCGCTGTTGAAGGGCAATGCCGCCTGTCAACTTTTTGTGGCAGGAGTGTTGTGCTTTCAGTATGCTTACTTGCATCGCGACTCGGTCAGAGAGGCCAGAGTAGACACAACTAAGGCTTCTGAGGGCGCCGCAGGTTTCATTCTCAGGGACGCCCGCAGGCTCTCCGGCCCTTCCTTGGGCTCGCATGGGCCCCTCGTGCAGCCGTTGGGGCGTCTGCGGGTTGCTGAAGACCTCTGCACATTTCAAAGGTTTCTGTAAGCTCATGTGACTTGTTCCAGACAGGGCCTCCCCTTCCATGCAGTTGCCGTCCCGTTTGGTGATGTGCTACGACAGTAACTACTTTTGGGTCGCTGCTGTGGCCTGGGCGCTACCGCGCTGCATCGTGCAGCATCGGCTTTCGCCCCTCTCGATTGGGGTTTCGGATCTGCTTCGCGATGTCTTGTCGCTTGGCCTGTGATGTGGACGGCACGTGGGTGTCGCGGCGTGGAAGAGGAGATCGAAGGGGCTGGCCTCGTGTGGGCCTGTAGCCCATGGCTCAAGGCAGCGCGCAGCCGCAGCCCGCCACGCCCGAGCCGTGCCCGCCCCCCGGTCTCCCCGGCCTGGACAGGCGGACAAGTGCGCGCAGGGCGGCGTGAGCCCCTGCGCCCTTCGGGGCGCTGCCGGGCTATAGCGGCGGTGGAGGGCCATGGTGGACGAGGGGAGCCGCTGCCCGTTCCTGCTCGAGAACGATGACAGCAAGTTGGTCACGTGCATGTGCAACTACTATTCGCTGGGCCAGGCGGAGCTGGCCCGCGCGCTGCTCCGCATCGTGGCCAGCCGCAGCCTCGCGCGGGCCCTGCGCATCGTGAAGACCATCATCTGGCACGGGCCCCCGAAGCACTGGCTGTGCTCCGTCTTCGCGCCCTCTTCTGCGCACGTGACATGGATGTGCCTCATCGACTTTCAGGACCTCGTGGAGACACACATGAAACGGCCAGCGCAGCTGCCGCCGTGGCTGCTGAAGCGGCTCGAGTTCGATGTGCTGATCGCCCAGGCGCTGCTCGACGGCGCAGCCATCCAGGCTCAGGCTCTCACCGCCGAGGTGGCCAGCGAGCTTCGCGCATACCACGCCGGCCTGCTGTGTGCCACAGGGCAGGAGGAGGACCTCCCTCCAGAGATGCAGGTGCCGTACTCGTTCAAGCTGCCAGCGCTGTCGCTGCTCCAGGTGACTAACCAGGTCTCTCCGTACGTGAACTTCTTGCCTGCGCACACCACAGACAGGCACCCGCAGGAAGCATCTATACACCACCATCCACCGTCTCTGGCCACGGACATCCTGGTCCCCAGGGTGGTGTGTAAACCTCCTTGGCCAGGAGGGCGTGTGCACCATGCCAGGGCCCACGATGGCCCTGGCCGGACGAGGTGGTGAAGTATAGATGCCCTTTGCATAAGGCACGAGCAGGTGGATCACCTCGCCAGCGGCAACGCCAGCCTCTCCAAGGCCGCCGTGCAGCAGCTCTACGACCTCTGCAAGAGCCAGCCGCTGCTCGGGCGCTGCGTCGGGCGAGCGCTTGCGCCCCCAGGGTGCGCAGCGGCGCTCACCACCGCGCGGCGCATCCAGCAGATGTGCCTCGGGCTCACCGCGGACTCGCTCCTCCAATCCCTGAAAGGTGACGCGTGGCGGTACCTGAAGTTCTTGGAGGTCAGCGACGCGATCGGGAGCCCGCAGCCGCTACTGGAGCTCTTCAGCGTGCTGCTGGTCGTGGTCGTCTCGGACATCCGCCCGACGCCGGCGCTGCACGCACGGCTTCAGGGGCTCGTCTCCATGGCGACGTCGACGCTGAGCGCGACCGCGGCCACAGGTGCCGGCCCAAGCGTGGCCGCCGACAGCGGCGCGTCTGTCGTTGGCAACCTCGCCTCGGCAGTGGTCGGCTCGGGCGTGGTCGGCACGGGCGCGGTCGGCGCTGGCGTCGGGCCTGGGACCCTCGGCGGGCCCAGCGCCCCGCCGGGCACTCTGGGTGCCCAGGAGGCCGGCGGGGGCCCTCCAGAAGGTGGCGAGGGCGACGGAGGCGCCCCTGCCACTGGGCCCGACGGCCCGCACCTGGGCGCCCAGGCGGGCCCCGCGGGCGTCGCGGTGACGGGGAGCACCGCCGGCGCAAGCACCGCAGCTGCTGCCCGTACGCTCGCGGAGATCTTCGCGCAGGCCCTGCCGGCCGAGGGCGGCACCGGCACCAAGCCGTGGGAGCACCTGCGGCAGCTGCTCGCGGCGCGGACCAGGGGCGCCGCAGAGGAAGCCTACGGAGCAGCCGGCGCCGGCGGCGGCGCCGCAGCGCGCTCGTCGGCCCACAGGTTCAGCAAGTTCCTCAACCGGATCCGCGGCGAGAAGAGCATCGAGGACGACGCCCTGCAGGAGGACCTCGGCGCCGCCCCGCGCGGCAGCGACGGCGGCCGCCACCAGTTCCACAGCGAGGGTGCGAACGGGGCAGAGGGCGGCGGCGGCCAGCCCGGCGGAGTCGCGTGGCAGGCAGCGGGCGACCGCCCTCGCGCCAAGGCCGAGCTCAGCGCTGTCAGCGTGGGCGGCGCTGACGGCTGGGATGCCGACGGGCCTGCAGAGGCGGCCCGCAACGCGTTCTTGCACCGCACGCAGATCTACGAGGCGCTGCTGACCCACGAGTCTGGCGCAGGCGGTACCCAGACGGCCCTCCGGCTCTTCAGCGTCCTTGAGGACGAGCTGCTCCGGCTGAAGGCGGCGCAGAGCCCCCTGCCGCCCGCCTTCGAGCTGCTGGAGCCCTCGGACGCCGACGCGTACCTGTTCAAGGCGCCGCCCATCACCTTCTGGGACGCGTACTTCGAGTTCGTGCGCGTGGCCGGAGTGCACTGCCTCGAGTACGTCGTGCACGCCGCGGTGAAGTTCATCCGGCAGCACGACTTCTGCGCGGCGGCGTGGCTGCTCGCCCCCTTCCCGCAGCTGAAGCCGCTGGTGGTGCTGCTGTGCTGGCCGGAGTTCGACGGGGACGTCGGGAGCCGCCAGAGCCTGCTGGACACGCTCTGGAAGAGCTACACCGAGGAGACCCGGGAGGACCCGAGCAGGACCGGGGACCAGCTCGTGGACCACTGGGTGGAGGTCCTGAACTACCGCCTGAGCGTCTCCTGGTGGATCTCCAAGCTCAAGGAGGATAGCCGCAGCGCGCAAGGCCAGGCCGAGCTGGAGAAGTTGCCCGGGTACCGCGCTAGCGCCCACGAGCGGGGCGGCGGCCCCGGGGCCCGCAGGAAGGAACCCGCGCCCCCGTCCGCCGGCGTCGGCGCCGCGCAGGAGCAGGGCTCGGAGCCAGATGCGAGGCCGCTGGCGCTGGTGGCCGCCGACGTGCTGAACAGGGTGAAGTCGCACAGCATTCTCTACGTGATGCGGCCGGACCTGCCGATGGTGGAGAGCCACACGCTGCTGTCCGCGCTGCAGTCGCTGCCGCCCCTGCGGCAGGCTGCCGCAGCGATGGAGCATTCCTACGACCTCGACCTCGCCCGCTGCTACTACACGGTGCGCTGTGCCACCTACCTGGTTGAGCGCTGCGTGCCCGCTGCGGGGGCGAAGGCCGTCTCGTTTGACAGCGTCATGCCGGGCAGGCAGGTCATAGAGGAGGGGATGAACGAGCTAAACCGCCTCATCAGCTCCATAGAGCGCACCCCGCTGAAGGTGTCCATATTCCTGATCATCTCCTCTCTGTGTTTCATGCGGCGGCGCTACCTGCAGCACGACGGGACCATGCGCGGCTCGGCGGCCGCGGCGCAGCCTCCGCCCTCCGGCGCAGAGGCCGCCTCCGATTTCCTGGTTCCCCCCGGCGTGATGCTGTCGCTGCTGGCGCTGCTGAGGCACCATCTGCAGGCCCTGGTCGCCCAGGAGGGTACCTCCGACGGGTTGCCGGAGGCCTCCGCCGAGCAGCTGCGTGGTATCATCCGGAACCTCTTCCAGTTCACGCAGGAGACGATCTGGCGCATCTTCATTAGCCTGAAGGACTTCAATCAAGGGAGGAAAACACCACCCCGACCCCAAGTGGCGTTTACTAGGCGGCCCTGGGTGTGTACTGGACAGCTATTCCCTGTTCGATTATTGCGAAGGCCTTACGGCCGGTGCCGCCGACCGCGAGAACGACGAAGATGAAAACGAGGGGGGGCAGGGGGAGGAGGATGAGTGGGAGGTGGAGGAAGGGTGGAGGAGGGGGGAGAAGGGTGTGGAGGAGAAGCTAGAGGAGGAGAAGGAGGCAGAGGAGAGCAGGAGGAGGGGGAGCAGAGGGGGGGGGGAGGAGGAGGAGGAGGAGGAGAAGGAAGAGGAGGAGGCCAGAGGCTTTCTTGGGACAGCCTGGGGCTCTCTTGAGGCCGTCTTGGGCCGTCCAGGGCTCCTCTTGCGCCGTCTCGAGGCACTCTTGGAGCCTCTTGGGGCCTCTTGGGGCTTCTTCGGGGCCTCTTGGGGGCCTCTTGGGGCTGAGGGCTCGAAATGTCCGTTCGGGTGCCCCGTCTGGGCACTCTCCTGGAGCGTCTTGGGGGCTCTTGGGCCGTCTTGGAGGCGTCTTGGGCCGTCTTGGGGCCCTCTTCGGCCATTAGGGGACCCTCTTGGGGGCCTCTTGGGCCGTCTCGGGGCGATCTTGGGGGCCTCTTTGGTCGTCTTGGCAGGAAAACACCACCCCGACCCCAATTGGCGTTTACTAGGCGGCCCTGGGTGTGCACTGGACAGCTGTTCCCTGTTCGATTATTTCCTTCAGTGCGTTTGCTCAATGGGTTCGCTTGTCGGGGTGCTTATACGTGTTTCTCTAGTCGAAGGAGATGGTAACCATTAGCCAGCGTGGACCCCAAAGTGTGGGCGTTTAGCAACATAGGTTGTGCAATATTTGTAGATCTACGTTGGTAGTGCAGTCTATGTGGTGCAATATATGCGGCGCAATATATGTGGGGGTAAATTGTGTGGTGCGACCTATGTTGTGTCATCTATGTCGTTCAAATATTTGTCGTGTGTTCTATCGTGTGCAATCTACGCCGCAATATACGATGTCCAATATTTGCGGGGCAATCTACGTGGTGCAATTCGTTTGTGGAGCTCGCACTTGTCAGCTCCACTGCTCGCGCAATCATTCCACCCACCCACCCGCAATTTGGTGTGCAAAGCCCATGCGGCGGCGATTGCGATGAGTGCTTGGTGTTGGCTCAGGCATCTCTGCGGCCGCGCTGGCCCGTGCATGCTTGCGCGCGCAGCGGCCAGCTAGTTTTGCGCGATCGACGCGGCTGCGGTGGTGCTGCCTTCTGGGCACGTCCCAGCGGGCACTTGAGTGCGAGTCGGCCACTTGGGCGGGCGCGGTAGCATTGCAACGTCGACAACGGTAGACACGCTGATGATAGTAGCGACGCTGCTGGCGATGATGACCATGGCGACGGCACGGCCAGTGACGGCGCCGATGTTGATCACGCCGGCGACGATGACGGCGTCCTCGCGTCGTTGGTGAAGGTTTTGGAAGGAGTTCGGCGTGCGCGGGCGGCCGACGCGCGCGAGTGGCCCGCGTGAGCTTATGTGACACGGGTCGTGCCCCCCAGTGCGCGCGCAAGGGCGTTCGAATGATGTCGACATGTGGCGCGAACGGCCCGTTGGGCCGTATGGTTATCTCAGGAACCGGTTTGGCTGATATGATATGAGTTTATTGTTCGAAAGGACGATGGGGCATAATCCCGTGTTCATTGCAATACGAACGGTGAGCGGTTCAGTCGGGGGGTGGGTGGGGTCGATCCTAATACTCTTTTGGGTATGGGAACTTATGTGGTGCAATCCATGCGGGGAAATTGACTAATTACCCTGCACCGCGCTTGACCGCCTCCAGTGCTCGCGCAAACATCCCACCCACCCACCCGCAACTTGGCTTGCAAAATCTCTTAAGACCGTGGCGTTGGATACCAAATGGCACTTGGCAACGACAGCGACACCGACGACGACAGCGACAACGACGACGACGACGCCGCCGACAACGACTACAACGACACCGACGTCGTCTCCAACGACTTCGACGACGCCGACAACGACGACGACGACGACACCGACGACGACACCGACGACGACGACGACAACGCCGACGCCGCCGACGACGACGACGATGACAACGACGACGACGATGACGACGCCGACGACGACGACAACGACGACACCGACGAAGACGACGACGTCAACGACGCCGACGACGACGACGACGACGACGACGGCGGCAACGCCGACGACGCCGACGCCGACGATGACGAAGACGACGTCGCCGACGCCGACGACGACGAAAACGACGACAACGTCGCCAACGTAGACGACGACGAGGGAGGAGGGAGGACGACGACGGCGACAACGACGACAACGACGACGACGAGGGAGGAGGGAGGACGGCGACGACGCGAACGACGATGAAGGAGGAAGGACGGCGACGCCGACTTCGACAACGACGAGGGGGGAGGGAAGACGACGACAACGACGACGACGACGACGACGACGACGGCGACGAAATAGGAGGGACGACGACGAGACGCCGACGACGGACGACGACGAGGGAGGAGGAGGAAGGACGACCACGGCGACAACGACGACGACCACGACGCCAAAGAGGAGGACGACGACGAACACGAGGAAAGACAGAGGACGACGTAGGCGACGACGACGACGCGGGAGGAGGGAGGACGGCGACGACGACGACGACGACGACGCAAGAGCGCGCGCGCACGCTTTTGTTGAACATCCGTGTTGCGAAACCACATGTTTTTTGCAGGTTTTTTTGGACACGATTTTGAATTCCTTCCGAAACCGATGGGTTTTGAAGGATTTCGGCGTACGCGCGCGACGAGCGTCTGCACTTCGTCTTGTTTTTTGCAGAGGATTCTCGCGACGGCACACGCGCAAGGGCGTCCTACAGATTTCGACATGCGCGCGCGAAGCCCGTTTGGTAGCATTTGGTGAAAATTTTGAAAAGCTTATAAATTTCTTAAGATTTCGCAAGAGCTCGCGCGCAAACTTTCTTAGCAAATCAGTGTTGCGAACCTTGTGTTTTGGTATGTTGTTTCGGAAACTCGATTGCGAAATTTCTCCGAGACCGAAGGTTTTTGAAGGATTTCGGCATGCGCGCGCGACGACGCGCGCGTGTGCACTTTTTTTTTTTTTTTTTTTTTTTTTTTTTGCAGGGGATTCGCGCACAAGTTTGATGTTTGAACAACACAGGGAACCTCAGTGGTAGCGATACCGGCCTCCCTGGGACAGTGTAAATTCATATTTCGGATGGACATGTGGTCATTACCATATATGATTTACATTCCCGAAAGGGGGGCGATAACGCCTGGGGGGGTAGAGTCCATTTCCAGAAAGGAGATTGAATTATTTGCTCAACTTGAAGATGTCCTCTCTAGTGCTCGTGCAAATATCCCACCCTCTCACCCGCAACTTGGCCGCCTACGACCACACCGACGACGTCTCCAACGACTTCAACGACGACGACAACGACGACGACGACAACACCGACGACGACGACGACGACGACGCCGACACTGACGACGACGACGACGATGACAACGACGACGGCGGCGACGACGCCGTCGACGACGACGACGTCGACGACGACGCCGACGACGACGACGACGAAGACGACGAAGACGACGACGACGCCGCCAACGAAGACGACGACGACGAGGGAAGAGGGAGGACGACGACGGCGACGACGACAACGACGAGGGAGAAGGGATGACGACGACGACGACGACAGCGGCGACGAAATAGGAGGGACAACGGGAAACGCCGACGAAGACGACGAGGGAGGAAGGACGACCACGGCGACAACGACGACGGAAACGGCGACGACGCCAAGACGACGACGAGGAAAGACAGAGGACGACGACGGCGACGACTACGACGACGACGAGGGAGGAGGGAGGACGGCGACGACGACGACGACGACGACGCAAGAGCGCGCGCGCGCTTTTGTTGAAAAACCGTGTTGAGGAACTTTGTTTTTGTGCATGTTTTTTTGGACGCACGGCTTTGAAATCCTTCCGGAATCGAAGATTGTTGTAAGGATTTCGGCATGCGCGCGCGACGACGCGCGCGTCTGCACTTCGTTTTGTTTTTTGCAGCGGATTCTCGCGACGGCGCGCGCGCGAAGCCCGTTTAGTAATATTTTTCGAACATCTCGAACAACCGATGGTTTTCTTTTCAGATTTCGCAAGAACGCGCGCGTAAGGGTTTTTTGAAAACCCAGCGTTGCGAAACCATGTGTTTTTGTTTGCTTTTGGGAAACTCGATTTTGGAACCTTTCCGAAACCGAAGGTTCTTGAAGGATTTCGGCATGCGCGCGCGATGACGCGCGCGTGTGCACTTCGTCATTTTTTGCGCAACGGGTTTTTGAGAATTTATGATCTTTGATAAACGAGAGTGCGCGCATAGTATCTGTTGCAGAGGATGGCGGGGGGGGAGTGATGCCGGCCTGGCTGGGATAGTATGAATTCATATTTCGGATGGACAGGTGTGCAGAGTAAACATAACATCGCAATGCATGCTTGGCGTTTGCTGGTGCATCTCTGCGGCCGCGCCAGCCCTAGCACGCACGCGCAGCGGCCAGCCAGTTTGGCGCCTCCGGCGCGGCCGCGGTGGCGCTGACCGTTGGGCGCACCCCAGCGGGCACTTCTCTGCGAGTCGGCTACTTGGGCTGGCGCGGTACCATGGCAACGCCGACTACGGTAGACGCGATGATGATACTAGCGATGCTGGTGACGATGTTCGCACCGACGAAGGCGCGGCAAGTGCGGGCGCCGATGCTGATCACGCCGGCTACGACGACGGCGTCCTCGCGTCGGCGATGAAGGTTTTGGAAAGAGTTCGACATGCGCGCGCGGCCGACGCGCGAGAGCGGCCCGCATGTTTTCGTTTGACACGGATCGTGCCCCCCCCCCCCTCCCCAGCGCGCGCTCAAGGGCGTGCGAATGATGTTGGCATGCGGCGCAACGC